CAGTACTGATATGGAAAATAGGCACAGATCAATGGAGCAGAAGAAGGAACCCAGAAACAAAGCCACACACCTACAGCAAACTGATCTTTGACTAATTTGAAAAGAACATACACTGGGAAAAAAATAAACCTTTTCAATGAATGGTGATGAAAAAATTGGATAGTCACATGGAGAAGAATGAAACAGATCTCTGTCTCTCATCATGTACAAAAATTAAATTGAGATGGATTAAAGACTTAAATATAAGACCTGAATCAATAAAAATCCTAGGAAAACCTCTTCTGGATACTGGCATAGGCAAGGAATTTATGACTAAGACTTCAAAAACAAATTCAATAAAAATGAAAATAGACAAATGGAACTCAATTAAACTAAAAAGATTCTGAACAGCAAAGGAAATAAAAGAGCAAAAAGACATTTTACAGAATGGGAGAAAATATTCACAAGCTATTTTTCAAACAAAAATCTAATATCCAAAAATCTACAAGGAACTTAAAAATCGCAGCAGGATGAAAACAAACCACCCTCTTAAAACATGGCCAAATGACATTAAAAGTCGTTTTTCAAAAGGAGATACAGAAATTGTCATAAAATGTATAAAAAATACTCAACTTCACTAAACACCAGGGAAATGGAAATTGTAACCACAATAATGTGCCATCTTATACCAGCTAAAATTACCATTATTAAAAAGTCAAAAACTGTACATGCTAACACTGATGTGGTCAAAAGGAAATGTTTAAAACTGCTGGTGGTAAAGTAAATTAGTACAACTTCCTTGGAGAGCTGTATAGATATTTCTCAAAGAACTAAAAGTAGATCTACCATTTGATCCTGCAATCCCACTTCTGAGTATCTTCCTAGAGGAAAAGAAATCATACTATCAAAAATATTTCTGTAATGGATGAAGAAACAAGGACTCACACAGACTCAATGTCAAGGGATGGAAAAAATATACCACCAAATGGAGACCAAAAAAGAGCAGCCATAGCCATTCTCATATCAGATAAAATAGACTTTAAATCAACAATGGTAAACAAAGACAAAGATGGTCACTATATAATGGTAAAGAGAGTAATTACATAAGAAGTCATAACAATCCTAAATATATATGCACCTAACACAGGCGACTCCAGATTCATAAAGCAAATCCTGCTAGATATTAGAAAAGATATGAACACTAGCATCATAAACTGCTGGTGACTTTAACACTGAACTGACAGTGATGGACAGATCAAAGCAGAAAATCAATAAATACTGGACTTAAATGGGACTCTAGAACCAATGGAATGGACAGACATTTACAGAACATTCTACCCCCAAACTAATGAATTTACATTCTTTTCATCAATACATGGACATTCTCCAACATTTATCACAAACTAGGCCACAAAACAGTCTCCACAAATGCAAACAAATCAAAATCATACCATGTATATTCTCAGACAATGGTGGAATAAAACTCAAAACAATTTCAAGAGAAACACTCAAACATATGCAAAGTCATAGAAATTAAACAACCTGCTTCTGAAAGATGCTTGGATCACTGATGAAGTTAAAATGTAAATTAAAAGATTCCTCGAACATAATGTCAATAAGGACAAAAGCTATCAAATCTATAGGATATAGTGAAAGCAGTCCTGAGGGGAAAATTCATAGCCTTAAATGCCTATATCAAAAACACAGAAAGATCACAAATTAACAACCTAACATCATTTATCAAAGAACCAGAAAAAGAAGAGCAAAACAAACCCAAGGCCAGAATAAGAAAAGAAAGAACAAAGCTCAGAGCAGAACTAAAAAATGGGGGAAAAAACAACAAAAATCAATGAAAAAGTTGGTTCTTTATAAAGATAAACAAAATCAATAGAACTCTTGCCAGATTAACTGGAAACAGAAAAGAAAGAACCCAAACAAAATCAATCATAAATGAAAAGGGAAATATTACAACTAATACCACAGAAATACAAACTATCATCTGTGAATATAATGAAAATCTTTATGCCCATAAATTGTAAAGTGTAGAGGAGATGGACAAATTCTTGGAAACACAGAAGCTCCCAAGACTCAATCAGGAAGAAAGAGAAATCCTGGACAGACTAATAACAAGCAGTGAGAATAAAGCAGTAATAAAATATCCCTCAACCAAAAAAAGCCCCGGAACATATGGATTCAAAGCCAAATTCTATCAGATCTACAAAGAATGACTGGTACCAATCCAATAGAAATTATTCCATAACATGGAGAAGTAGAGAACTCTCTCTAAGTCATACCATAAAGGCCATATGAAGCCTGTATTACCCTTGATACCAAAGGCAGGAAAGTACACTACAAAAAAACAAAAAACTAAAGACCGATATTCCTTGTGAATGTAGATATAAAAATGCTCAAGAAAATACCAACAAACCAAATTCAAGAGAACATAAAAAAATAATTAACCATGATCAAGAGGGCTTGATCCCAGGGATGCAAGGATGATTAAACATAGGTAAATCAATAAATATGATTCACCACATAAACAGAAGCAAAAACAAAGACCATATGATCATCTCAATAGATGCAGACATGGTATTCAACAAAGTCCAGCACACTTTCATGAAAAAAACTCTCAACAAACTAAGTCATAGAAGGAACATATCCAAAAATTATAAATCTGTATATTGACAAACTCACAGCCAACAACATACTGAATGGGGAATAGTTGAAAGCATTCCCCCCAAGAACTGGAACAAGATAAGTGTGCCTGCTGTCACCACTTCTATTCATCATAGTACTGGAAGTCCTAGCTAGAGCAATCAGGCAAGAAAAAGAAATAAAGGATATCCAAATTGTATAAAAAGAAGTAAAAGTATCACTTTTTGCTGATGATGTGATCTTGTATCTAGAAAATACCAAATACGCCATATGAAGAGACTCCTGGAATTGATAAATAGTTTCAGCAAAGTTTCAGGTTATAAAAACAATGTATACAAATCAGTGGCATTTCTATATGTCAATAACAATCAAGCTGAGAGTCAAATCAAAGACTCAGTACCATTCACAATAACTATAAAATAATAAACTACTTAGGAATATATTTAACCAAGGAGGTGAAAGATGCCTATAAGCAAAACTATGAAATATTGATGAAAGAAATTTCAGATGACACAACAGATAGAAAAACATCTCATGCTCATGGATTGGTAGAAACAACATTGTTAAATGTCCATGCTGCCCAAAGTGATTTGTAGATTCAATGCAATCCCTATCAAAATATCAATGTCATATTTCACCAATCTAAAAATTAATCCTATGCTTTATTAGGAACCATAAAGAGCCCAAATATCCAAAGCAATCTTAAGCAAATAGAACAAATCTGGAGGCATCACAATACCAGACACCAAATTATAATACACTGCAAAATTATAGTAATCAAACACAACATGATACTGGTAAAAATTAGAGACATAGACCAATGGAACAGAATAGAGAACCCAGAAATAAAACCATATGAGTATGATCAACTGATTTTTGACAAAGTGTACAAAAACATACATTGGAGAAATGATGCCCTATTCAATAAATTGTCCTGGAAAATTGGATGACCATGTGTAGAAAGAAGCAGGAAATTTATCTCTTACTATATACAAAAATTAACTCAAGACAAATTTTAGACTTAAATGTAAGATTTTAAATCATAAATATTCTAAAACAAAATGAGGAAAAACTATTCCAGACATCAACCTATGCAAAGAATTTATGATGAATTCCCCAAAGGCAAATACAATAACAACAAAAATAAGTAAATGAGGCTTAATTTAAAAAGTTTCTATTCAGCAATGGAAACAATCACCAGAGTAAATAATCAACCTATACAATGGGAGAAAATATCCACAAAGTATACATCCAACAAAGGACTAATATCCAGAATCTATAAAGAAATTAACAATAAAAAAATTAATGAACCCATTAAAAATGGACAAAAGACATGAACAGAATTCTTTTCAAAAGATAGACAAATGGTCAATAAACACATGAAAAATTTCTCAATATCACTAATCATCGAGGCAACAAAAATCAAAGTCACAGAAAGATACCACCTTATCTCTATCAGAATGATCATTATTAAAAAAATCAAAAAACAATAGATTTTGGTGTGCATGTAGTGAAAAAGGAATGCTTATATACACTGTTGATGGAACTTAAATTAGAGCAACCTCTAAGGGAAACAGTGTGAAGATTACTCAAAAAACTAAAACTATCATTCAATCCAGCAATCCCGCTACTGGGTACCCACCAGAAGAAAGAGAATCAATATATCAAAAAGATAACTGCACTCCTATGTATATAATAGCACAGTTCACAATTGCAAAGATGTGGAATCAACCTAAGTGCCCATCAATTGATGAATGGATAGAGAAATTTTGGGATATATATATTTCTATATAGAGAGAAATTTTGGGGTACATCTATATATAGACACACACACCCCCACATACATCATGGAGTACTAGTCAGCCATAAAAAGGAATGTAACGATGTCTTTTTGCAGCATCTTGGATGAAACTGGATAACATTATCCTAAGTGAAGTATCTCTCAGGAATGGAAAAACACCACATTTCTCACTATTCAGTGGGAAATAAATGATGGGTATATATGGTCATATAGTGTTGCAAAGGACATTGGAAACTAAGAACTGGGGAGGTAGGGGGGGGAGAATAAAAACTACTGAGTAGGTAAATTGTGTACTACTCTGTTGACAGGAACACTAAAAGCCAAGAATTCAAGATTATACAAGTCAGCCATGTAACAAAAACACTTGTAACCCCCCTTAATATTTTGAAATAAAAAATTAAAATAAAAGCATACAATTTTTATTTGTCAATTATTCTTCAATAAAGATGGGAAAATGTTAATATTGATATTAAATAAGAAAGATTATATATGTAATATGTACATATTTGTATATATATAAAATATCGGAGGGCCAATTATTTAGATGTAACAAAAAAGACATTACCTGCTCCAAATATGGATTCACAAAGTGCATCAGGATCAGCACAGGCTCCAGCATAACACAGAAACCTACGATTTTTGCATCTATTCCCATTTTGTATAGTTACATCAGGAGCACATTCTGATGAAGTTCCATTACAAAACTCACTGAGGTCACAATCAGGATGCCTTGAAGGCCTACATTCAAAACCCGCAGCTTGAATCTAATAGAAATTAGATCATAAAAAATAAATCATTACATATACAATTATTGTTTTCATCAATATTTACTTCAAAATTGTAGTTATTCACTTCAAAATCTAGTTATTCATTAATGTCAATTAGTTTTTTGTATAAATTATTATGCTAATACTATTAAAGTATAAATTGAATGTTATCAACTAAAACAGGTAATAACACATATGTATGAGAAAAAGTATATCAAAACACTAATGTGAAAGCCAAAGATTTATTTGTATTTCAAGTGTAAGGGAGAAAAGAAAACTTTTGGCTTAGAAAAATTACTTCTTTCAGGGATGGGTGAAATCATACCTAATGGATACAGTGTACACTATCTGGGTGATAGGCACACTTATAGCTTTGACTCAAGCACTACAAAAGCAATCCAGGTAACCAAAACATTTGTACCCTCATAATATTCTGAAATTTTTAAAAAATGGAAAAAATATATATTTCTTTTCAGTAAAAATATTGTAATTTATTCAATTTCAAGTAAAATATACTTATTTAAATCATAGTTTATAAGTGTGGAATACTTTTAAATTCTATGACAAATATGAAACATAAATAACTGCAGAGAGATTCAGAAAGGTAATTAAAGATGCAGTTCAACTACAGGAGCCTTTGGAGAGAAAGGAACCCAATTGTAATCTTTCTCCTGAATTACATTATAGTTAATTAATTCATCCATAAATAGAATTCTGAAAAGTTATATAAAGAATATTAAAGGGACACCTATCTCGTATTTCTTAATTGATGACTTATAGTTGATACTAAAAAGATTACAGAGGTAAAAATGTAACTACAGGATAAGATTTTAGAAAACAACATAAAACTGTGTGGGTCGAGGACAGTTAAGAAGATAGAATGCATGACAGATAGTTCAACAGAGGTCTTCTTATATGATAAACTTTTACAAATATATAGGAAGACCTGAAAAGGAAAACAGAGAAGTCAACATCTTCACTATCTTTCAGTCAAACCATCTTTTTTCTTTCTTTTTTTTTTTTTTCTTGAGACCGAGTCTCATTCTGTTGCCTGGGCTAGAGGGCAGTGGTGTTATCATAGCTTACTGCAACCTCAGACTCCTGGGCTCAAGCTATCCTCCTGCCTCAGCCTCTCAAGTACCTGGGACTACCGGCATGAGCCACCATGCTCAGCTAATTTTTCTACTTTTTTGTAAAGATGAGGTCTTGCTATATTGCTCAGACTGGTCTCAAACTGCTGGACTGAAGCAATCCTCCCACCTGTGCCTCTCAAAGTGATGGGATAACAGGCATGAGCCATTGGACTTGGTCTGGGTTTTCTTGTAACCATCTTTGAATAATAAGTTCCAAGTTTAAATTTTGTGCTACATGTACCATTTAGAAAATGTTACTTCTAGTGAGTTTCATTCCTTATACATTTATGGAAAACTGTTACACCTTTCAACTACATACATATAAATACTTAACCTAGTAATAGCATTTTTATTTATACTAATATATTAGATGCAGTAAATGAATAACAATACCTTTTCAATGGACATATGAATTTAAGAATTCTATAATAGTTTTCAATCAAGGTTTACAAAACAGCAGAATCAAATTAGTGAGAATACTGACATTAGAAGGAGGCCTGAACACCTAGGAAAAGTTCACAAAATCAGAAATTTCATTCTGAATTTATTGCCTTTTAGCTTATGGGGGAAAACCATATTGTAACTTACAGCTATAGGTCTAAATGTTCCAAAGTGTCCGGTGTATGATTCACTATGTATCTGAAATATGTTAATAAACAAAAATCTTACTTGACAGTCCCTGCAACATGCTCCTCGATGACATTGTGCTCCATCTTTCAGGTTACAAGTTGCAGGATCACAACAGTTATTCGGTCCACATTGCTATAAATGAACAAAATGTACAAGTAAAAATACATCCTGACAATAATAAAAACTGTACCAGAAGCTATATTATTGATGGACTTAATTTTTGACACTTAGAAAAGAATACAAATGCTGCTGACAGTTATAGCTTTTAGCATCTCTAAATATTAATATTTAAAATACTAATGTAGGTCCTTTACTTCAGGTCATGATAGAGTAACTGGAAGGAAACCTACCTTCCTATCTAACTACAAAATATGGAAACACAGATGAATCTACTTCTTCCAGAAATTATATAACAGGCAAAGCAGAACTATGATCCCTTAGAGAAGGGGTCCTCAAACTTTTTAAATAGGGGGCCAGTTCATTGTCTCTCAGACCGTTGGAGAGTGCACACTGTGGGCCCAGGACAAGTCGGGTGCTAAGCAAAACAGGCAATGGCAGCAAAAACACCCAGTGGGCGGGATAAATATCCTAGGCAGGCAGCATATGGCCCACAGGCCGTAGTTTGAGGATGTCTGCCTTAGAGAATAGAAACAATAAGGTAAGCCCTAAGTTACCAGTTTTCTTCCTAGAGGTATTTTTTCAGGCAGAGAATGATGTTCTCATTGAGTTAAAAGATATAGATGGAGTCAGATCAGGGGAAAATGGTGTTCAGACCTCAGTCCAAAAATTGTATGCCTATGGATGTAAAGAAAAGCCCAGGTGTTGAGGGAAGGAAGATGGCGGACAAGAAAAACCACCAGCCAGAGTGTCTCTGCAAAAAAAGACAGATATGAAAAGAAAGTAGAAGAAATAAGCAAGCAGACAAGCATACATCAGACAAGGGTCAGAAGGAGGGGTACCTGAGACTACAGGAGACTCCACGGGAGGAGGCTGCAGAGGAGAACTGGAAGAAGAGAGCTCCCGAGAAGCTTGGAGACAAGGGACACCCCAGTGACAAGGGAAGAGAAAGCGGTTAAATTTCCCCTCCCATGCATCTAGGACTGCTGGTGGGCTCCCCAGCACTTGGAGAGACCTGCAGATACCAGCCCAGAGACGGCCACTACAAGTGAGTGGTAAGCCTATTATGGACATGGCACCAGCCTCCCCACTCCCTCCAAGCACCTCCCTGTGCAGAGACCTGAGCCGCTCGGCAGGCACCATATTGCTTCATTCTCCCCTCACCCTTCCCTTTCCACGGCTGCCAAGAGAGACAATATAGCCACCACCCAGAGACATCTCCAGGGAACAGGACCTTCCTTTTTGGGGCCCCACAGAGGACACAAGGGTACTAAGACAGTGAGCTCTCTACCCGTCAGGCCACCCAGGTGCGGCTTGCAATGTGACTCTAGGAAAACGGGGCAGATCCTGAGGCTGAGAGACATTGACCCAGCTTGGGCAATGCATGGGTGAATTAGGACTGGCACTCCTCTCCCTGGTGGGGTCAGGGATTAAATTCCGGGGCCCAGAGGTCAGACCTGCAGACCAATTCCCATGTGCCCAGGTTTCTCATTGCCCCAGGGCACAGAAGGGATATTTGTGAATTAGCCTACTAAGGTGTGTGTGCCTTCAGGTACAGATCAGCGTGCTTGAGGGCAACCCTCCTCCCAGGGAGGGCCGAGTGCCCAGCCCAGGCAGCAACCCTGCACAGGAAACCTCACGGCCCGCATCACAGCCAGGGGAACCTGCTGGCAGGGGGCAGAGTGAAGCCATGGAGTTGGGGAGGGTGGAAAGGAGCGAGGCCTGCTCCAGACTGCAGGTCTCAGACAGTCCCACCACGACACACAGACTTTCCGGCTGAGTGGGGCCATTCCAGCCCCTCCCTGACAGCTTTTCCCAGAAGCAGAGAAAAGACCTTTGACCCCTGCTAACAGCATTTGAGGTGCTTGACAGCAGGCTTCCCCAACCCAGCCCCACCCAGACTCATTCCTAGACATGCCCTCACTGAGGTGAAGAATAAGGACACACCTGGAAGATCCAGGGCACCACTCACCACGTGAGGCACTACAGTGTCTCTCCAGAGGAACAAGAGCTGGTTACAGGACGCAAAAACAATACTGTAGCCTGCTCTACCCAGCAAGCGCCACCTACTGACAGTGAGGTCATTCTGCACATACTTTTAGGTCATCTACTGACTCATCATAAAAGGTGTGGATGAATCTCACCCACAAACACCACCTACTGGCTCAGAGATTAAACAGGGCGTGGCATTATCCAAACAAAAATCTAAAGGTAAGAAGCAACAACTGATCCAGATGGGAAGAAATCAGCAAAAGAACTCTGGAAGTATGAAGACTCAAACAGAAAGCACACCCCCAAAGAGGAACACCAGCACTTAGAAATGGACATCAACAAAAATCAGAACACTAAAATGACAGAAGAAGAATTTCGAACATGGATTGTAAGAAAACTAATTGATATGCAAGAAAAAATGCATAAACAACAAAAAGAAGCCACAAAAAAATTACAGGACCTGGAAGAAAAATTCACTAAAAAAAATTAAAATAATAAAGAAAAATCACACTAAACTCCTAGAAATGAAGAATCTATTCAGGAATTAAAAAACACATGGAAAGCAATAAACAAGGTAGGTCAAACAGAAGAAAGAATCTCAGAAATGGAAGATAACACCTTCCAATTAAATAAGTCAGACACAGAGATAGAGCAGAGAAACAAGAGAAAAGACCAAAGCCTATAATAAATGTGGGATTATGTGAAGAAACCTAATGTGAGGGTTATAAGGATTCCAGAAGGGGAAGAAGGAAAAACACAAGGTTTGGATAAGCTATTTGAAGATATAATAGAGGAAAATTTCTCAGGCCTTGGTAAAAATCTAGATATCCAAGTACAAGAAGCTCAAAGGACTCCTGGGAGATTCAATGCAAACAGGAAGACACCACAACATGCAGTCATCAGACTGACAAAAATATCAACTAAAGAGGCCCTTCTATGAGTTGTAAGGCAAAAGAAGCAAGTCACATACAAAGGAAAGCCAATCCAAATAACGCCAGACTTGTCTACTGAAACCTTACAAGCCAGGAGAGACAGGGACCCCATTTTCACTCTTCTGAAACAGAATAATGCCCAGCCTAGAATCTTGAACCATGCAAAACTAAGTTTTATATATGAAGGAGAAATAAAGACATTCTCAGATAAGCAAAGACTGAGGGAATTCACCAAGACAAGACCAGCCCTCCAAGAAGTACTCAAAACAGTGTTACCTACAGATCAGTACAATAAACACTCATGAATGTAAATCTACTCAAAAGCTAAATATCAGGCCGGGCGCGGTGGCTCACGCCTGTAATCCTAGCTCTCTGGGAGGCCGAGGCGGGCGGATTGCTCAAGGTCAGGAGTTCAAAACCAGCCTGAGCAAGAGCGAGACCCCGTCTCTACTATAGAAAGAAATTAATTGGCCAACTGATATATATATAAAAAAAATTAGCTGGGCATGGTGGCGCATGCCTGTAGTCCCAGCTACTCGGGAGGCTGAGGCAGAAGGATCACTCGAGCCCAGGAGTTTGAGGTTGCTGTGAGCTAGGCTGACGCCACGGCACTCACTCTAGCCTGGACAACAAAGCGAGACTCTGTCTCAAAAAAAAAAAAAAGCTAAATATCAAAGGCCAGATACCACAATGGCTCAAGAGAGAAAACAAAGCAACAAAGTTCAACCCAACAGAATGAACAGAAATCTGGCCCACTTATCAGTTCTCTGGATAAATGTGAATGGCTTGAACTCCCTACTCAAGAGACATAGGCTGCTGCCTAAATGGATAAAAAAAATACAAGCCAAGTATCTGCCACCTTCAGGAAACACATCTAACCTGCAAGGATGTATTTAGTTTAAAGGTAAAGGGGTAAAGAACAATATTTCCAGCAAACAGAAGCCACAAAAGGGCTGGTATGGTGGTTTTGATTTCAGATAACTTAGTTTTTAAATCATCAATAGACAAAGAAGGTCACTATATAATAGTGAAGAGTACTGTTCAACAAGAAGACATAACAATTTTGAATATGTATGCACCCAACTTAGGTGCACCCAGATTCATAAAGCAAACTCTACTTGATCTAAACAAATTGATAGACAGCAACACCATAATAGCCAAAGACTTCAACACCCCACTGACAGCACAGGAAAGATCCTCCAAACAGAAATTTAACAAAAAAATAATGGACTTAAACAGAACTCTAGAACAAATGGTCTTGACTGACATTTACAGGACATTCTATCCAAAAACCACTAAATATATGCTCTTCTCATCAGCTCATGGGATGTTCTTTGAAATTGACCATGTCCTAGGAGACAAAGCATGTCTCAAAAAATTTAAAGTAATAGAAGTTATACCATGTATCTTCTCAGTTCACATTGGAATAAAAGTAGAAATCAACCCTAACAGAAACCCATTTCTACACAAAGTTGTGAAAACTAAACAACCTTATGCTTAATGATTACTGCATAAATGAGGAAATCAAGACGGATATCAAATGATTATATGAACTAAATGACAAAGGAGACACAAGTTATCAAACTCCGTGGGACACAGCAAAAGCGGTCCTGAGAAGAAAGTTTATTTCCATAAATGCCTATATCCAAAAGTCAGAAAGATCACAAATAGACAACCTAATGAATTTACTCAAAAAGCTATATAAAGAAGAACAGACTGACACCAAAACCAGCAGCAGAAGAAAAATTAATAGGATAAAAACAGAACTAAATGAAATTGACAACAGGAAACTTTACAGAAGAGCAATAAAACAAAAAGTTGAGGCTGGGCATTGTGGCTCACACCTGTAATCCTAGCACTCTGGGAGGCCAAGGTGGGCGGATTTTTCGGGTCAGGAGTTCGAAACCAACCTGAGCAAGAGCGAGACCCCATCTCTACTATAAATAGAAAGAAATTGATTGGTCAACTAATATATATAGACAAAATTAGCCAGGCATGGTGGCGCATGCCTGTAGTCTCATCTACTTGGGAGGCTGAGGCAGTAGGATTGCTTAAGCCCAGGAGTTTGAGATTGCTGTGAGCTAGGCTGAT